GTTAGCAGGCAAGTGTCTTAGCCACTATGCTACCAGAGCTCCTGGTGATCTAAACCAAGATGTGAAAGTGGCGTATCTAGTTCCCAGTACAATAGCTGTGATTCAGAATACTGATTGAGGTACGATCACCATTTTCAAGGCATATTACCTTTGGACTGCTTTGCTCAGGCAATAGCTGTAGCAGATGGAGGTACCATAACATTATGTGATTTCTGGAAGAATTACAATATTCTTCAATGTATCTGGAACATTGTACCTTCGTGGGAGGAAGGTATGGGAAAATACATGTAGGAGATTTGGAAAAAAGTGCTGAGTTATGTGAGCGTGCTCCAAAAATTTGATCAGGATAAAAGGATGGACCACCACTCCTCTGTCAGTTTGTTGTACTGTGGTGGCGTGGATGTTGCAGTGAGGCTGGAGGCCATGCCACCAGTATTTCATATACCAGCAGGGTCAGCCATAGTGGACAGGTTTCAGCAGAGCTTCCAGACTAATACAAACTGGGAAGAAGGACAGGGCCATCCACTTCTCAAAGAATTGGCTGGTGAAAACCTTATGAACACCAGTGAAACACTTTCTGGAAAACTTTATGAATAGCTCTGAAACATTGTCTGACACAGTGTCAGAAAATGAGCTCCTCAGGTTGGAAGCCACTCAAAATAGGACTGGGGAAGAACTGCCTCCTCAAAGTAGAGTCAATCTTAAAGACATGAATGGAGTAAAGTTTTCAGGACCTCCCTTTGATGATGGGACATGACTCAAGATAGGGGAAAAAGCTGCAAACATCCATTAATAATCAGATCAGGCAATGTACAAAGTATGAATCTAGGAAAATTGGAAGTTGTCAAAAATGAAATGGAATGCATAAAGATCAATATCCTAGGCAATACTGAGCTGAAATGGAATGAATTTGGCCATTTTGAATCAGACAATCACATAGGCTACTATGCTAGGAATGACAAATTGAAGAGGAATGGCATGGCATTCATTGTGACAAAAAAATGCTTCAAGATCTACCCTGAAGTGCAATGCTGTCAGTAAGGGGATGATACCTACATATGCCTACAAGGAAGACCAGTTAATACTACTATTACTGAAATTTATGCACCAACCACTAAAGCCAAAGAGGAGGATATTGAAGACTTTTACTAACTTCTGCAGTCTGAAATTGGCAAAACATGCAATCAAGATGTATTGATTTTTACTGGTGATTGGAATGCAAAAGTTGGAAATAAAGAAGAATCACCAGTAGTTAGAAAATATGGCCTTGGTGAAAGAAGTAATGCCGGAGATTGCATGATAGAATTTTGCAAGACCAATAACTTATTCATTGCAAATACCTTTTTTTCAACAACACAAACAGAGGCTATACATGTGGACTTGGCCAGATCGAATACACAAGAATCAGATTGACTATATCTGTGGAAAAAGGTGATGGAGAAGCTCAACATCTTCAGCCAAAGCAAAGCCAGGAGCTGACTGTGGAACAGACCATCAATTACTCATATGCAAGTTCAAGTTGAAGCTGAACAAAATTTTAAAAAGTCCATGAGAGATAAAATATGACCATGAATATATCCCATCTGAATTTAGAGACCATCTGATGAATAGATTTGACACATTGAACACCAATGACCAAAAACTCAGCCAAATTGTGGAATGACATCAAGAACATAATACACAAGGAAAGCAAAAGGTCATCTAAAAGACAGGAAAGGATGAAAAGACTAAAAATGGATGACAGAAGAGACTCTGCAACTGGTTTTTGAATGGAGAATAGCTAAAGCAAATGGAAAAAATGACAAGACAAAAGAACTGAACAGAAAATTTCAAAGAGCAGCTGGAGAAGACAAAGTCAATTATTATAATGAAATGTGCAAAGACCTGGAATTAGAAAACCAAACAGGAAGAACACACTTGGCATTTCTCAAACTGAAAGGACTAAAGAAAAATTTCAAGCTTCAAGTTGCAATACTTAAAGATTTTGTGGGCAAAATACTGACTGATGGAAGAAGTATCAAAAGAAGATGGAAAGAATATACAGAGCCACTGTACAAAAAAAGAATTTTCAATGTTTATCCATTTCAGGAGATGGTGTATGATCAAGAACTGATGGTATTGAAGGAAGAAGTTGAAGCTGCACTGAAGGAATTGGGGGGGAAAAAAAAAAGGCTCCAGAAATTGGTGGGATACCCATTGAGATATTTCAACAAATGGATGCTGCGCTGGAGGTACTACTCATCTTTGCCAAGAAATGTGGAAGACAGCTACCTGGCCAAGTGACTGGAAGAGATCCATATCTGTACCCATTCCAAAGAAAGGTGATCCAAAAGAATGTGGAAATTATCAAACAATATCATTAATATCACACACAAGTAAAATCTTTCTGAGGATAATTCAAAAACAGTTGCAGCGGTATATTGACAGGGAACTTCCAGAAATGCAAGCTGGATTCAGAAGAGGATGTGGAACAAGGGTATCAAGATCAGATGGATCTTGGCTGAGAGCAAAGAATACAAGAAAGGTATTTCCTTGTGTTTTATTGACCAGCAAAAGCATTCAACTGTGTGGATCATAACAAATGATGGACAACATTGAGAAGAATGGGAATTCCAGAAATCTTAATTGTGTTCATGAAGAACCTGTACATAGATGAAGAGGCAGTGCTTTGAATGGAACAAGGAAGTACTGCATGGTTTAAAATCATGAAGGGTGTGGGTCAGTGTTGTATCTTTTCAGCATACTTATTCAATCTGTATGCTGAGCAAATAATCCAAGAAGCTGGAGTATATGGAGAACAATGAGGTGCCAGGTTTGGAGGAAGACTCATAAACAACCTACTCTAAGTAGATGACACAACCTTGCTTCCTGAAAGTGAAGATGACTTGAAGCATTTACTGACTTACTGATGAAGATTAAAGATTACAGTCTGCAGTATGGATTATACATCAGCATAAAGAAAACAAAAATACTCACAACTGGACCAATGAGCAGCATCATGACAAATGGAGGAAAGACTGAAGTTGTTAAAGATTTCATGTTATTTTGATCCACAATCAACACAAATGGAAGCAGCAGTCAAGAAATCAAATGTCATATTTCACTGGGCAAATCTGCTGCAAAAGACTACTTTAAAGTGCCGAAAGCAACAATGTCTTTTTGAAGACTAAGATGCACCTAACACAAGCCAAAATATTTTCAATATCCTTATATGCATGTGAAAGCTGGAGAATTAATAAGGAAAACTGAAGAAGAGTTGATGCTTTTGAATTGTGATGTTGGCAAAGAATAATGAAAGAACCATGGACTTCCAGAAGAACAAACAAATATGTCCTGGAAGAAATGCAGCTGGAATTCTTCTCGGAAGTGATATAATGGCCAGACTTTGTCTCACCTACTTTGGTCACGTTGTCAGAAGGGACCATTCCCTGGAGAAGGATATTGTGTTTGTTAAAGTGGAGGGTCAGGGAAATAGGAGAAGACCCTCAATAAAATGGATTGACAAAGTGGGTGCAATGATGGGCTTAGGTATAGTAAGGATTGTGAGTATGGCATAGGACTGGGCAGTGTTTTGTTCTGTTGTACATAGGGTTGTTATGAGTCAGAACCAACTCGATGACACCTAACAACAACAACAACAGTATGATGAAAGAGAGCAGTGGAAAAATCATCCATATAGCAAGAACACAGAATTTAGAACTTAGTATTGCCAAAGTAGAACAGCTCATAGATCACAAAGGTGAACTGACAGATTAGGACTTAATTTTGGAGGAAAGAAATACTAAAGAAGAAAAAAACAATGAGGAAGAGGAATGAGAGAAATTGTCAAAAAATTTTATAGTGAAAGGATAGCTGAAGTTTTTTCTGAACTAAATTAGGGGCTTCAGTTGCTGAAAACATGGACCCAGATGCTGATTGCTTTGGTGAAGTCAATAGCTGATTCAGGAATCAATGAGATGTTACCACAAAGTGTATGAGGATGACAAGAAAAGGATCATACAGACAATTGTTACCAATTTTCATTTGGTAATTTTCAACTTTCTATTAGAAATTTTCAATTTTCAATCCAGATGATCCAGAATCTACCATAAGTGAGTTATTACCACAACAGGCAAAATGCCAATGTTGTACAATTCTTCATCATTGTCAGAGTACATTTTTATGATTTGTGTATTTTTTTATGTATGTGTGTATGTAGTTTTAATTAAGTTTATATATAATGTTTCCAACCACCCAAAGACAAAGATCAGATCTATAAAAATACTGATAATAAAAACCAGTAACAATGAAAACAACAACAACAAAAAAGAGGTATTTGACTTACCTCAGAACCAACTTATGACGGAGTCATCAGAATGGAACCCCACCAAAAGTCAGGAACTACTTGAATATCCCTTACCTCGCTAGGCGAATTCTCCTGCGTGCAATTGCTCCACGATACCGTCTAAAATCATCCTTCAATGAAAAAACAAAGTAAAATTAATATAATTTCCTCTATTTTAGTACTCTCTTAAGTCAGTTGAAAGGTCTAATTAGGATGTGTTGTCGCTGCAAGAACTTTCTTCATCAATCAGGGCTGCCTTGGCTAAACTGACAAAACAGGGGTATGAATAAATATGCAACAATTGTAACTATTTTAGTTCTTCTTTTAAAATGAAGATTGTTAGCATTTTTGCTACCAGAATGATGCATATATCTCACTATAGAGTTCTTAGAAAAGTTGAAAGATGGCAATAACACAATTCCAAAATGAGAGAAAGAGATGTAGGTCAGACAAATGTCCAGTAGTACAGAGAACTGAGTATAAAGAAGTGGGGGCAGGAGTCAGATAGGGAACACAGAAAATGATATGCCACCACTAGGAGCATGTGGCCAAGTAGAAGGGAAGTGAAGGACCCATCATCTCAACAAATAATTAATGTGAAAAAAAATCCATTTTACCTTATCAGGCAGAAAAGAAAGAAAATCAAGGGGAAGTAGCCATAGAGGTTGTTGATGATGCAAGGAGAAGAGGGAAGACCTCTGTACGCACTGCTTCCCCCAGAATAACTGGTGTGATTATTGAATCTCACATGATAATAACTGACCTTTGAGATGGGCTTGATTCTGGGAAACGTGATGAGCTCTTCCTTGTCATCAATGGCATTATAAATAAGAAAAGCACTATTGATGTGCCTGCCACGGCCTTCAGACCATTCATGACAGTTAAAGGCCTCCACGCGCACTCCAACTTCAACACTGCAAAAGGACCACACAGATCAGCAGGCACAGATAGCCAGAGCACCAACAGGCCTCCCTGCCCACCACCACCACCGCCTCAGAGCAAACAAGACAATGAGGGCCCCAGTTTCTTTTGCCATCTGCAAATCTGTGCAATTATTGAAACCCATGTATAAGGTCAAGGGATCTGTTCGTACAAGCCCTTGGGAGCATTTCCACTTTACTTCTTATAAGTGGGGAAAGGTCCCTTGGACTTTATATACATACATAAACATATTTTGGTATGCAAGGTGATGGAGTGGGATTAAAGTTTTATTCTCTAAAAGCGGTAGTTCTATAATTAAAAAAAAAATACTGAAATTAGATAAGAATCACAGATATTCTCTTTCATACTTAAAAAGAAAAAAAAAAACACTGAATTAAAACTTTTCATTGTGTAACAAGAATTATAGAAATAAATGAGAAGTGGTTTGCATTTCATGATGGGAAATAGCAGGTCCATTATGAGTTGCCTGACCAGACAGTCACTGTGATACTTATAAATTAGTATTTACTAACTTTAAAAAAAAAAAAAAAAAAAATATATATATATATATATATATAATGTTTTAGCTTATGTTGTTGTTGTTAGGTGCCACAGAGTGGATTCCGACTCATAGTGACCCTATGTATTAGAGTGGAACTGCCTCATAGGGTTTTCTTGGTTGTAATCTTTATGGAAGCAGATCACCAGTCTTTGTCTTACAGAGCTGCTCAGTGAATTTGAATCTTTCGTTTATCAGCCAAGTGCTTTGCCATTTGTGCCACCAAAAATAAAATAAAATAAAAACCAAACCCATAGCTATCTACTTGATTCAGATGCTTAGTGACAGCATAAGACAGAGTAGAACAGCTCTATAGGGTTTCCAAGACTGTAAACCTTTATGGAAGCAGACAACCACATTATTCTCCTGCAGAGTGGCAGGATCTTTTGCTTAGCAGTCAAGCAATTACCCACTGTACCACTAGGGCTCGTATTTAACTTATAACCATATTATATCAGCAGGACGGGTACAAACTAGGATGTCCTAGGCCAACCAGGACATAGAGTTATGGTCATTATGAGAGAAAGCCAAATCTCACAATTTACTTGAGGAAGCCCCAAGCAGAAAAAGGAATTAAAATGCGTGTCTACTGATTTTGAAGATTGAGTGCAGTTTTGAGGGAAAAAATTGGGCAATGATTTTGTTATTGAGTATTCCAAATATCCACTGATATTACAAATGATCTACACTTATCCTCAGATTGAAGTAAAAAGAAAAATTTATGTGTAAGTGTGAATTCGCTTATAGCAGTCTAAGGAGTTCCTGGGTAGCACAAATGGTTAAGCACTCAACTACTTGTCAAAGGACTGGCAGTTCGAACCCATTTAGAGGAGCTTTGGAAGACAGATGTGGTGATTTTCTTCCAAAAGTCACAGGCTTGAAAACTCTACGGAGCATGCATGGGGTTGCATGAGTTGGAATTGATTTGTGGCAACTAACAACAAGAAGCCTAAAAGCCCTACACACACTTCAAACCAAAAAAAACCCAAACTCACTGCTATCAAGTTGATTCCAACTCATAGCAACCCCCACTGAGTTTTCAAGGCTGTAAATCTTTATGGTAGCAGACTGCTCCATCTTTCTTCCAAGGAACGACTGGTGGGTTCAAACCACTGACTTTTTGGTTAGCAGCCAAATGCCTTAACCACTATATCACCACTTTGTTGTTGTTGTTGTTGTTATGTGCCGTCGAGTCGGCCCCGACTCATAGCGACCCCTCCTTGGGTTTCCGAGGCAGTATCACTACGGAAGTAGGATTACCAGGTCTGAAATGTATTGTTGACAATGGCATTGAAGACAAGACGATCTCCAACTGTAGATGGTCCCCGGAACTTAAACATGTCCACAGACTTCAGAATGACATGTCCCCAGCAGAGGCGGCTGAAGAAACAAAGGGAAGGAGACAGAAAGAAGAAAGCAATCACTTTCTGAAATATTTTTGTGAACTGCTGATTCACTTAATGGTTACAATAGACAAATTCTCAATATGCTTTCTAAATAAACATTTATTTTAATTCAAAAGTGAAATAAAGAACTGAATTATGTTGAGAATGGTTCCATACACTATCTGCAAATATTCGTGGGAAATACCATTTCCCCAGGCAGTGGGATCTTTATAAGACACTGGTGCTTTTATTTTGTTCTTGTCCTCAATAAAAATACCTCTGAAGGACAAACCAATACCTTTTGTTCTAATCTGAGGGTTACATTCCTCCTGATGTATCAGGAGCACAGTAACAGATAGGGTGTTACTTGAAGTAAAAAGAAAAATTGATGTGTAAGTTTGAATTCACTTATAGCTGTCTAAGGAGTTTCTGGGTAGCACAAATGGTTAACCACTCGACCTGAGTGTTCCAGGTTGGAGTGGGGGATATGGGAAGGTAACTGCCAGCTAGTGCCATTCACATTGACTCCAATCTCAGAGTTAACCAAATTTGCCCTGTATCAAAAGACTAATTTTCTTCCCTACAGAAAAATTCCCTGGATTTCTTGTTGTATAAAGCCTGAAAGGCTATGAGATACACATTTTACAATTTTTGAGTGTGAAATACAAAGAATATTTAATCTAAGAATATTACTGCCATAATTTTCTACATTTTAGATTCCTACTGTAGTGATTCAATTACTCTAAAGAATTGTCAACATTAAATGAGCAGATTGAGCCACAGTTAATACATTGTAAGCCTTTACAATAGAAATGTTCAAATGGTTCATTGTCGTTAAGAATGACAATCTCATTTTAAAAACAAGCTTCCCTTATTTGTATGTGTTTCAGATTGTGGCAGATCCATTATAAGTTGGAAGGATGAATACAGGTTTCTAACCATAGTTATAACTATAGGAAAATTAATAATAAAATTCTTTATATTTGGGGAAAAGAAAACCTTAATAATTTTCAGTGATTACAAAAATTATCAGAAAGGTAGATCCTGTTCAAATGCATTTTCAGGGTACACCATGTTCCTTAAAGCTACTCATTTTCTTACATGATTCTGGTAAGAATAAAATAATTTTCTTGAAATGGAGGAGAGTTTAAAATTATACTTCCAAGTACTCCTCTTTTTCTCCACTTATTTTTCAGTTAAGCCTTTGGCCATAAAGATTTTAATCAACAACTTCAAAGGTCTGATCTAGTTGTAAGTTGCCTTTAGAAAGGTTTGTGACTTGATTGACTATTTTTAGTGTAGAGGCTGTCATCTAAGTCTATTCTGCATTTAATTTGTCATACACTATATTTACAATGAGTTGCAGTGCTGCAAGATCAGCATCCATAATTCAGAATAAAGTTTTAGAACTGTCATTTCATTATTATATTTGAACCCAAAATGGTAACATTTACCTTCAAGCAAAAGGACAGATCAGTCTTAAGGTAAACAGGTAAATGATTTATAGTTTTCTCATTTTGATAAAAGGCCATATTTTTCTCAGTCCTTTCTTTCTCTCTTTAAAGAGCCCAGTAACTGGATCTGGGGCTCTTTCTAGACTCTTCCCTCTTGTCCCCAAACCACACACTAAACGTCAAAGCTGAGAACCTTGCAGAAATAGTAGCCACTGTCTCCATCCAAGCCATAATCTGGCCACCAAATGTATTTCCATGATGATTTGCATGAGGTGGGAGGACTAGTTCAATGCTCTGAACAGAGGTGCCCCCCGTGGAAACCGTTCCTTCTTCTTCATCACATTTGGGATCTGAAAGGTTGATGTAAATATCAATGAAGGAGTTAACCACAGAACTTGGGGTTATGGCTTTTCCTTCCCAGCAGCACACTCAAATCATGGGATATTTCTAAAAACGAAATTATTCCCAAAGATTTAAAATCCCTGAGGAAGCAAAAACACATTTTGTTAAAGTGAATGACTTTCATTTCAGTGGTGGATACTTATAGTGAATCCAAAAAAGCCTTTTAGAGATCGTATTCCAATCGACTGAGTTCCTGGGTGGTGTAGAAGGATAATGTACTCAGCTGCTAATAAAAGGTCGGGGATTTGAGTCCACCCAGAGGCATGTTGGAAGAAAGGCCTGTCAATCTACTTCTGAAAAACCAGCCACTGAAAACCTGTGGAGCACAGTTGTTCTCAGATACATATGGGGTCTCCATGAGTCAGAATTAACTTATAGGCAACTGGTACTGGTTTATTTCAAACGATCTAAAAAGCCCACTAGAAGTTTGATTAAAAGAATGATTAAATTTAAATTTGAGTTGCATGAAGTGGAAGAAGGGCAGGTCAAGGCAGAGAGGAGCAGGAAGAATTTTTGGGAGGTGACAGATATGTTCATTATAAGCAATGGTTTCATGGGTGTGTGTATATATGTCAAAACCCATCAAATTGCAAAATCTAAATATGTACCATTTATTGTATTCTCTGTTTATCATGATGTTGCTTCTTGGTCTAGTTGTGAGGATTTTTGTTTTATGTTGTGTAATCCTTCCTGAAAGCTGTAGTCTTTGATCTTCATCAGTAAGTGCTTCCAGTCCTCTTTGCTTTCAGGAAGCAAAGTTGTGTCATCTGCATATCCATGGTTGTTAATGAGTCCTCCTCCAACCCTGATGCCATATTCTTCTGATATAGTCCAGCTTCTTGGATTATACGCTTAGCACACAAACTGAATAAGTATGATGAAAGGATACAACCCTGACACATACCTTTCCTAATTTTAACAGTATCCTATTTTTCTGTTTTGAATGGCTATCTCTTGGTGATGATAGATGGACAAAATATTGATCTTACCAAGGATTTTATTTTACTTAGATTCACAATCAATGCCCATGGAAGTGGCAGTCAAGAAATCAAATGACATATTGCCTTGGGAAATTTGCTGCAATAGACCTTTTTAAAGTGCTAAAAAAACCAAAGATATCACCTGAAGGACTAAGGTGAGCCTGAACCAAGACACAGTGTTTTCGATTGCCTCAAATGCATGAAAAAGCTGGACAAAACAAAGAAGACTAATGAAGAGTTGGGGTATCTGAATTATAGTGCTGGCAAAGGATACTGAATATACCATGGACTGTCAGAAGAACGAATGAATCTGTCTTGGAAGAAATACAACCAGAATGTTCCTTAGAAGTGAGAGTGGTGAGATTTCATCTCACATAATTTGGACATGTTACCAGGAGGGACCAATCATTGAAGAAAGACATCATACTTGGAAAAGCAGAGGGTCAGCCCAAAAGAAGAACACCTCACTGAGATGGATTGACACAGTGGCTGCAACAATGGGCTTAAACACAGCAACAATTGTGAGGATGGTGCAGGACTGGCAGTGATATTTTTCTGTTGAACATGGGGTTACTATGAGTCAGAACCTACTTGACAGCCCCTACCAACAAAAACATTTATTGTATGTTAATTATACTTCAATAAAATCGCTAATAAGAAGAGAACTTGAGCTATAAAGTTCCACAGACACTGAAAACCTGAAACATGTTTGTTGTACTATAAACTTCAGAAGGGGAATGTGGCCTTCTGTGGAAGCTGTTTTGTAATGAATGCAATCACTAACAGAAAAGACACAATACATTGCATTTCTCAGTGTCCTCTTGCTTGTTTTGAATCATATCTGCTTCATTTACTGACAAATTGGTTTTTATTCTCAACAATGAAGAAATCATTTGCTCTGACTGCAAAGAAGTAAAATGTATTCAATTATGTTTCCTGCATCATCAAGTGAATCACAAGCTAGGCTTAAATCTCACATGTTGGGGAAGTGGAGGGGGACTCAAAAACCAGGGGGCCTTTCCCGGTTGTGCTGTCAGAGGCAGAGCTGAGCTTGCAGTGTGAAAGCACACATACACCCAGCTGGCGTTGGGAACTGAGAACTGGATAACTCTCGGCATAGCCACATATAGATGAGCAGAGAACTATAGCTCCAGAGGCTTTTCATTCCATTTTCGGATGGAATTTTTAGAATTACAACTAACTGATGGTCTTTTTCCTTGGTTTTTGCTTCCTCCTTCATTCCATTGATCATTTTGGTCTCCTGCTTGAAGTATGTCTGTAGCTTCCCATTGTTCTGGTATTAAAGCCCCAAATCCTTCCCACGGTGTTCCAGCCCTTCCTTTCCTGTCTAGCCTATGCCTCCCTCTCCATCCCATTCAGCCTATTCTCACTCCACCCACTGCCCAAGTCAACATTGCCAAAATAAATCAAAGCCTCAAAATGAGCGAAGTTTTTTTTCCACATAGCTAAAATACAGAGGTTCTGAAACTTTCTAAGCCTTGTTTTCTAATCTATAAAATAGAAATAATACTACAAGCTTTGTGATTTCACGGAGTTAAGTGACAGCCAAAACTTGAAATCATGTTGTTGGTGGTGTTTTTTGTTTTTGTTTTGTTTGTTTTTTTAACTCAAGTCTAGTGCTATTTTGGGGGATATAACTGTACACAACACTTCTATAGGTGTTCTGGTGGCACAGTGCCTAAAGCATTTGACTGCTAACCAGAAAGTTGACTGTTCAAACCCACCAGCTGCTCTGTGGAAAGAAGATGGGGGCAATCCACCTCTGTAAAGATTTAATGCCTGGGAAGCCCAGTGGAGGTTGCTATAAGTCAGAATTAATTCAATGGCAGTAAGTTTGGTTTTGGAGTTTTTGGTAACATA